GGTGGGATGATGGGGCTGGGGGCGTCACCGGGGCGCACTGAAACGAGGTGTAAGCCTGGCCGGAGAGGGAGGCCGGTCTCACGCACGGCGTGGCCAGGAACAGCGGCCACTGCGGCGAGCCTGGACTTCACCTCAAGGCGACATGAGCGCGGCACCTGGGTCTTGAGGACACCCCGGGAGCCGTGGTGACGCAGAGGACGGAAGCAGGTGACCGACCGTTTGCAAAAAACAAAACTTGGAAAGAGCAGATATTCAGGAGAAGAACAAACCTGACCGTCTTCATGTGCCCAGACACCCGCTGCCAGCTGCCCGGCTCCTGCCGGCCTTTCCCTGTGCACCCCGTGTCAGCGAGGCTCCCCAGAGCACGCGCCGGAGTCCGGGGGTGCGCCTGCGGGCTTCTGTGGGGTGTGCGGCTTCCTCCGGGTCGCCTTCAGCCACCCTTCCGGCTGGAGCCCGGCTTCTGGAGGCCGCTGAAACTCAGCAGACAGGCGTGCTCAGGTCTGCGCAGGGAGGCCAGGCCACCCAGCCGGCGCGTGAGTGGGTGTCAGGGGGAGTCCACGTGTGTGTCACGGGTGAGGGAGGCCGTTCCGGGGCGCGCTCAGAGCAGGTGCAAGGGGGGAGGCGTGGACGTGGCGCCGCCTGGCGTGGCCGCCCCCGCCGCACAGACCCTCCGTGTCGGGCGGGTCTGACGGGCCCCAGAGACGCAGGGAGACATTCTGGGAGCCCCGCGTGTGTCTGGCTGCTGTGGTGGCTGGTCCCTTTGCTGGGCAGTGGACTGCCCTGCTTTTGAAGGTCACCCAGTCCCTTCTGAAGTCAACACGTCGGTCCCAGGTGCTTCTGGAGGGGTGAGGTGGCCCGCGCCGCCACGTCGGACGTGGAGGAGTTTGGGGAGCGGCACCCAGAGATGTGGGTGGGCTCTAAACGCACAACGGCGGGTGGGAACTCTGGCTCCATTCTGAATCAGGAGCTTCTCTGCGGGCAGAGGGGAGACCCCCCAAGCCCCCCAAGAGGGCTGACATTGGGATGAGGTCTCTCTCTTTAGATTTATTTATTTACGCACACAAGAGCTGGGTGCAGTCCAGAGGTGGGGGGGCGGTGAGAGGATTCACCAGAGGCGGAGTGGGGAGCAGAGCATGGGATCCACTGCTGAGGGGAGAGCGGGAGACAAGAGAGGTCTGCTGTGCCCTGGGGCCACGCCCTGGCCGGGATGGACTCAGGCTGCAGCCAGCCTGTCTGAGTTTTAGCCCCCGCGCCCCCCAGAGGGGCCTTTGGGGCCCCCCCAGAGGGGCCTATTGTTCCTTCTTTTAACCGAAAGGGAATTGAATATAAAGGTTAAGGAAATTACTTGCCCTCTAACCTTCAGTGAAGTCAAGATGCAAACCCAAGCTGGGCCCACCGCCCCCCTCTTAATCTCTGCCCCCCCCAACCGAATAGCACATCTGCGTCCGAATAGCACATCTGCGTCCGCGCATGTTTTCCTGCAGTCTTACTCCCTCCCCCTTTGGGGTGGTCTGTGCACATCCTGGTTATGGGGGATCTGCCTGCAACGGCCCTAGCCCATGGGGGTGGCTTCAGTCCCCACCCCTTTCCTGTGGGCATTCCTGCAGTGTCCGCCCCCACCCCGTGACCTGGCGAGCTCAGAAGGCCAGTGCCCCCGGGCGCCTCCTTCCCACCCCTCTGATTTGCCTCCTGGTGTGTGAGGCCTTGACCGGGAGTTGAGTCAAGACCCCTAGAGCCTCGGTCAAGCAGAGCCACCAGGGGGTGCTGTCCCGCCCTTGTCTGTAGAGTATGGGGACCGGAAGGGGTCCCCAGGGCTCCTGCCTGGGAGCCCGGCTGTGCTGGGGGAGGAGCAGGTGCAGGGTGAGGACTTCCCCTCCCCCCGCTCCCCGGGGGTCCTGGGAGGAACAGCTGACACGTCCTTCCCCATCCCCACGGGAGCCATCAGCTCATTGGGTCTTCTCGCTGTGGACGCCCTGTCCCTGGGCCACATCCTAGTCATCTTTGCCGTCGAATGCAAGAGGCTGCAAGGTGATAACCTGTGTTTCAGGCATTTAGCGC